TCAGTTCAGAGTCTAAAAAACAATACATTCAAAAAGATAAAACAGCAGAAGAGAACGCAATAAAACCTTTGTACTTATTGAAATTTTGTTTTATTTGTTGTGAATAGTAAGTGTAACTAAAATTAACACAGCTAGAAATCGTCAACTTTTATGAAACCTGCACGAAATGTGTAAACCACTAGTCTGTTAAATTTATCGTAAGATTACCAATTTTTTACCAATAAAATATATTTTGCCCTCCTTTTGTAAAATTACCCCAAACCAAGGGAATTCTTCCACTGTCGGCAACACTACGCGGGTGTGAAGTGCGGCTGGCGGGGGGACTGACGTATTGTTTTTGGACACATTAGACGACATGCAATTGTGAATGAACGCGGCTTCTGGTTTGTTCTGTATTCTGAGTGCTGAACATAGACTATCAATGACTTCCAGATCGGACAGTTAGGAACGATCTAGATTGAGATACTCCCTGCTTCCTAGATCCACCTTCTATCTGTTTATAGTGCAGCGTTTCCTAAACGCAAGGGACCCGGTACCTGGCCAACAAAACAAAGGGTCGCAAAATTCGCGCCTCGTTAAAAAAATTGCCCACTTTCGACCTCACGACCAATATCAAAGTTTTAAGTGACAATAAAATCTTTAATTTAATTATTTTAAAACTCCATTAAGTATGTGTATTAGGTTTCACTAATGGATCCCATATGGGTCCCAAAACGGTAGTGTAAAAATGACATGAGAACATGGTACAACAATTTTTGGGAAAAGCTGTACCTATTTATACTTTTGGGAACTTTTTCTCAGAATCTCTTTTTTACAGATCCAGGAATCCTTACGAATATGTCAACGTATCCGAAAAAATCAACGATTATTTTAAGCATAACTAGTATAAAATTGTACCTAAGTGGCCTGTGATGATGATATTTTATTAACTGAACCATTTATATAGCTTTGTCAAAGTTTATATGGCACGAATTCAAGAAAAGAAAGAACAATACGTATTTTACGTGACTATTAAACAATAGACACGTTTGAACGGGAAATAAATGGCACAATTAACGCCATTTTGCAGAAAGATGACCTTTTCCCTGTAACTACAGGGAAACTCAAACGAAGGATTACCAAGCAAACGATTTACCTATTTTCGTCCTATCTAAGACTATTCATAGAAAATCAATTGGCCAATTCCATTTATGAGGAGATCAGAATATAGTCACAACTAAGAAGCGATGTTACACAATAGAATTTTGTAACCCAAAAACTCGGGCATTCTTTGCTGATTATGACATCAAACAAAGCTTGAGGTTTCAACAAACAAGAAGCAGTTAAAACATCGGAAATTATAGGTAAAGCTGCATCGTATGAATGGAATGGAAATCGTTGAGATAAGACCACGTTATCGGAAGCTGATAAAATAAATAATAAATCAATTATGTTATTGTATGGATGTGATCTCATGAGGTCGGATGAGTGTGAACTGTGGGAGGCAGACTGTTGGGCGACAGCTATGGACTGGTTTTATATTGGGTCTCATATAGAAAAGTCAAAGCACGATGAGTATCGAATGGTTAAATGTCTCTATTGGTTGAATACTTAAAGAGAAGGTTATATATAAAAATGCGCATATCAAATAATAAAAAAATGCCTGAAACACCTAAAATCTTCTTTCATTGAAGCAAAAATATAAATTAGTATAAAAGCGCATTTAAAATGTTTAGAATAATATTTTACATTTCTCTAACATAAAAGCTGACTAGAAGTACTAGAACGAAGTCATAACAACGGAAAAATATAATAAGTAGATCTGAAGTAAGACACTCAAAACCCAGATGTTTAATGTCACGAACTGTATCCAAACAAGAATGTTTATAAAAACATTTGCATAAAACATACCTAATTGACATTCTATTGATATTTTTGACAATTCAACAATGGATTTTGATTGAATGCAATTGTTTAGTATTTTTTGGACGGACACAAAACCTTTTAGCAATATACTGGAAGATACGGACATTGATAATGGAGACGTATTGTGCAACTGTGAAGGCGTAGAACTAAAGCTCCATAAAAACAGCTGTTTGAAGCTATTGATAAATGAAAAGTTTAAGAAAGAGATTCAGACCGTCATGACACTGTAGTATTGTTCACTATAATATACAGATTTTTTTTGGCGAAAAAGATATGAATCCCGAAAAAAAGAAAGGTTGAATAACAAAGACATTTAGCATGTAGATTTATAGACTTTGTCCAGTCTAGACAGTTATTACTGTGATAGAGAAAATGTGAAATTTTCGAGCCTAGCATTAGGAAAAAAAGGTTTTATGATCAATTTCCTCATGCGGCAACTTTAACGTATAAGGAAAATGCATCCAAAGGAGGCAAATATCGATGAACTGAGACGCTCAGGAAATTGGAATTACATTTTTTAAATCAACAATCTAAGTTGCCAGCCTTGAACTGGTTCTTAGTTGATACAATAGAGAATTAAGTATTTAAATTAGAAAAACATGCCTATGACAATATTTATGTTAATATGTAATCAGCACGTGTTGGCGATGGGGATCAGTGTAATGTAAATATGCTGTTATGATTCGGTTAAATTATGACGTAAAACTCTACGATCATATTTATGTTTAGTAATTACTAAACAATATGATCGTAGAGTACTAAATGGTTCGTTTGACTTTGGACACCCTGTATGTCTGAGGTCTGGGTATATAGAGGTAATCCTTCTTATATTTGCTGAAGCAGACTAAAAATACACTGCAAAGCAACATCCAAACTATAATAATATTATGAATTCGAAAGTAACTCTGTCTGTCTGTCTTTTCTTTACGCCTAAACTACTGAGCCGATTACTGTGAAATTTGGTACGAACATAGTTTGGAACTCGAGAAAGGACATAGGATAGTTTTTATATAAAAAATCTGCAGGAAGTCACTTTCCCACGCGAACGAAGTCGGGGGCAAAAGCTAGTTGTAAAATAAATTAAGAACTTTATCTGGAAGAATTATGATTATAATGGAAAGGTGATCCAAAAGAATGTCCGATAATTTATAAGGTGATACTTATTATCGTACTATCATAAGAGACTCAGTAGAAAGATATTTATGGCTTTGTGTGATGACAATGTGAAACGAACGGTAATGATAGGGAGTTCCCTATAAAAAAGAACAGAAAAATGTATAATACAGGTGACTAAGGGTAAGGTATTATTAAGTTTTTATGCTCAAAGACGAACCAAGTTTATTATTTACTACGCTTTGGGGATGACCGCGACTACCGACTATTTTGTTACCGAAAAATCAAAGTCCTTTTCTTTAGAAATAGATTTGCAGTCCTTCGGACAAAGCCTTACACAATAAGGTTATTAACACAATGTAGTGTGTTCCGACACCTCCCGAAATGCGTAGAGTAGAAAAACTATTGTTTTTCTCTCATTCTCTCTCTAAATCTAGACTATTAGCTAAGCAAGCCACTAATAAATTACATTTGTTATTATCGAATCGATTCGATTCGTGCATGTTCTGCGTGTTTTTGATAAAAATATCGATTCGATAGGGACATTAGACACTGTTAAAGTGATGAGGTTGAAAGCGAAAGCAAAGGAAATGATGACTTAGTGTTAGAAGAGAAAATCAGGATTTAAGAGGCGATAGAGTAAAAACTCAGATAATCGATTGAAATACCCTTTTACCAATCAATTTTTTAATGACGATTACGTAAATAATAGACTCAACAAGATAGGTAATACGCAATAAATAGATAAACATAACAAAGCACATACTATAAAATCGATTGAAAAATTGCATGGAAATGAATGTACAAATGCTGAAACTATGGCTTTCATCAAAACTAATTAGTAGTAGAATTCTTCAAAGCCGAAGCCGAAGAGTTGTTACGTCAGAGCCTAAATAAAAGAGCATGCAATTTCACAAGATACCATCGTTATGCAACGGACAAGATGAACGTTTAGAATTAGTCATACTTATGAAGTGGTGGTTAGTTTGCGGTTTTTAATGTAAGAGCTACTGATGACCACGGTGCGTGCCAATTAATGAATTATGGAATGCAATACCATATGAATTGGAACTACGCCATTAATGGTCGGAATGATAATAGACATAAAAATACTAAAGTTGTAAAGTAATGATTAGCCAAATGAATTTACATATTGTTTGGTTCCGAAAGATTGTTATAATGGTAGCAATGCCAAATTCTTGCGCAACGGATATGCTTAATGGTGGAAATAGAAAAAAAATAAACCATTAGATCAATTTTGTTTTGATAAATATTGGTATTTTCCTATCACTTAATAATGAAATTTGTCAGTTTCTCACAAAATTTTGTATAAGTACTCTAAAGCGCGTAACAAAACAAAACTATGAGGAATTCCGCATTTCTATTCAAAGTTGCGTCGACTTTAGTCAGGCTTTCGATTTCGACATAGCATGCATTCGGAACATTTTGTTCTTATGCAAAAAGGGACGACGACAATATGTATGTGTTACACAAGAGGTGAGGTGTTATTAGGTAAGTTTTTAAAGGTTGGTATGTTCAATAGAAAGAGCCGGAGACGAATTATTAAAACAATTCAAGATTGAGGTTTTCCTTATACAGTCGTCAGGATATAAGTTAAGACTATCGAATGATGAAACTTATGTTCGGAATTCGGATACATGTGTAATTTGGTAGACCCTTCGAACCGGAACATGGTAATCATGGCTGATGGCCGAAATCGTTGCAAGTAGTCCTTGCACAATAACTTCAAGCAGTAATGATTTTATGGCTAAATTATGATGATGATCTATTACATTGTTTTCTACCTATTCTTTGACATTAATGTTTCTTACGTTATTTTCCAGTTTGTGCTCGACCCCATCAATCTTATTGGGATAAAAGTATCCTGCGTAAGAAAAGTGAGAAGCGTAGTCCTAATATGCAGCAGTTATATTTGCGATGCGAGTGTAGTCAATGTGTACTTGTACGTCAATATTATTTACCTTCGTCCTTCCATTGATCACGTAGTCACCCATTTTCCCATTGTTGGCCATCTTGTTTGCTCTCAGTATGATATTGTCAACCTGGAATATAAAAGGTCTTAATAGCGTTTTGATTTCATTTCATGGAAAGAACTAATGAGACCGCCCATTACGCTAATTAGGAAAACATTCCATAAACACAAAATTGATATAAATTAGAGTATAATGGGCGGTTAAAGTGCAATGGAATTTTTAATGATAACCTGTTGTAATCTAAAATGTATCAAATGAACCTGTTCATTGATGAATTAAGACATTAATTCATGAACGATTCACGTAAAAATCATATGCAGTTGCGGCGAACCTCCATGCGGCGAGTTTCACAATCACTTGTAATAAATCCAAACTTTTAGTAGTAGACAAAACTTCTCAAAACCAAATTATTTATCTAATTTAGAAATCGAATCAGGGCAATAACATATGAATGCATTTATGTAAATTAATGAGATTGTTTCGAAACAAATTGCGAAAGCCAAGTATACAAATATTTACAAACGAATTGATTGCTGTTTGTCTCAACATCAATAAGAGTTTGTTAAACATACATTTAATTCTCTTTATCAGATCAAATATACGTGCGAAGTCACGTCTCTGATAAAGGTAGTATGTATACTCAGGATTTATTTATTTAATTATATTAAAATACACCATATCGTTTGAAGAAAGACTGGAGAAAATGAAGGCCTGTAAATTTAATACTAATTTGGCAGGAAGTTGAATCTTAAATATGGCACAATCTTTAGCGCCATAATATTTGTGGATATCTGTTACTAATCATAGTAATCATAAGATAACACAGTTTTTTTGTCACATTATTTATCGTCTGATTTTACTTGATTCCAGTGCGTTTAAGTTGGATAAATTTGAGGATGGTCCTAAGATTGACCCTTGAGGAACGCCATTTAAGGGACTTATCAAGTTTCTATCTTACTTTATTAAACCTAAACTTTTCTGGCTCCATCATTTCGGTTGCGTGTTTAGTCTTCTATATTTTAAATCTTTGAAAGCATTTGACTAACACGACCCAAAAATGTATTGACTGCGAAAACAGTCATTTAGATATTTGTTATTTTGACAGCAATTAGTAATGGTATGACCGGTCACGGAGAGTCTTTAATATCAGTAATTAGTGAACATAATTTTGATAATTATGGCAGTTTAATCACAAGCCTAGCGATACGAGAATTGTAAAGAGATGACGTATTCACGATACCATTTTTACAACAGTGATATTTTCGTCATTGCAAGCGACATTTATGAAGACAAAAGTCCAAATGAAGAAATTACAGCGTTAGTAAGGATTTGCCTATTTACTGTAATTTCTAATTTAGGGCAGTAACCAGTAGTTAGGCTTTGTGATCAAACTATAACAATAGATGAACCACTATAATGAGACTAATACTGTTATTGGTGACTTCGAGGAACAAACAAAATGAGTCTTTTGTTTATTATGAAAGGAAGAATAAATAAAATGAATGAAAAGACTGGTCAATAGACTCTATACATTTTAAAGATTTATGATCTTGAAGAGGTAACCAGGTAATATAATTTCACAATAAAAAAAATATCGACAAGTGACTAACTCTGTCATACAAATCTCACTGTGGTTAAAACGACCCTGTTTGCGGTTCAGCTGTCATATTATTGATATTATGTACCTACTGAGAGGAGCAGTTACCTATTTGTATATTGCTAATACTTTTGGTAAATAGCTGATGCTTCGAACGATCTTTTAATGTTATGTATAATATTAATACCAGATACGACAAGTTTTTGCAGCTGATAGCAAAGTTGACTTAGCCTTAAGAATTTTGGGAATTATATTATTCAAAGAAAGGAAGTCAAAAGTATGATTATACAAAATTATTGGGTCCTTTTGAGGGCTGTTGGTTGACAAAGAAATCATTAAGAAAATTTCATAATTTTAGCCAAAACGTCATCAAATCTGTCGCGCCGTTTAAGAGGATAAGTATGTACGTATAAACGTGCAAATACGATTTACGGTAACAAAAACTTTTACGTCAGCTGACTATCCCGAAATGTGTTAGGGATTTCAATAACATCGAAACATCTGTCAGAGATATTATTGCATTTGACAATATGCTATTTTTATTTTCAATACCCTTCGAATATGATGAATGAAGAATCGATGGTGATGAGATGATGATGGGAGTGCCAGGCTCTTATTGACTAAAAACTACTGTTTTTCTTCTCCTATTCTGGGCCTTTGTTATTTTTTTTTGTGAGGGGAGAACATCAAATGACTTCTCCCGCCCAGGGCCGGGCAGGAGGGAGTGTCAGACTCTTACTGACTAAAAACCCCCCTGTTCCTTCTCCTGCTCTGTGCCGAGGTCGCGGTACCTCATTGCGCTTACCCCGCAACCCCGGCTGAACATCAGCCCTTTAGGGCCCCGTCTGTGGTGGTCGAATGGCTCTTTGAGGCGCGCGCGGAACGCTACGCGCCGTACGCTCGGGCCTGGTTCTGATCGGGCGGCGAGCTGCCCTTACTCGCCGACCGCAGGCCCGTGCTTACGGTGGCCGGAGATCGTCCCTCGATCCCCGACGCCCGTAGTGCCGCCAGTTGCGGCTGCTGGGGCGTGAGGAGGAGGATTCCTATTCTGGGCCTGAGCTGTAAATTTTTGCTTGCAACGCCTTTTCTAATGAACCTGAACCTTTTCATCACAAGAGTGGAGATTACGACAAATTATTTTATAAAGAGGATGGCTACCGTCCAGCAGTGGCCTGTCGCAGGCTATTCATGATGATTAGTTATCATCATCAATAAGTACTAAGTACTCAGGGGACAGGCTGTCGATACTAACATAAGTATAGTTTTAATCTTTTTACGATTACACTTCCAAATTATTTCATTTGCAATTAACACAAATTTTGTTATCTGACACTTAAGTAGGTAGGCACGTTAATTTAGCTACAATGTGTAAATATTGGTGCAGTTATTAATTTATGGCTGACTTTTTTAATCTAGCGCAATGATATACCGGGGCCTCAACTCGAAGCAGCCAAGAAAGAGGTAGGTTTTGGTTCAGTAAGTCTGACACTCCCTCTCTTCTGTCCTTCTGATGGCTCTATCGAAGTCATGTCATGATCATTCCCCCTAAACATTTTTATGCCTTTTCGTCTTTTCGTTTTTCGTGCTATTTTTAACAAATTTTACCACTATCTTTATGTTTCGAACTTGACGTAACTACCGACAAATTATTATTCCAATGTATAATGCAAAATTAGACTCCTTTTTTTTAAACTCTTATAGGAATTAAAGGCGACAGCTGCCTAGATATTACAATAATGGCCTGTCCAACTTTGTCTGTTCAAGTTTCTTTTACAACAAGTCACATACTTTGACATATTTTATATGGAAAATATATAAAAAAATATTATATATCCGTGTAAAAGAACTTACAGAGACATCGTCAAATAATTATTTACTTTTACACTTACATTAATATGTAGCACATTACCAAGAAGGTTTTATTTGCAGATAAGCTCTTAAATAAAAAAATGTTTCAAATGACTTCTGTATACAGTGTGCTTAGTGTTAATAATGTTAATAACATTTATAAGTACTTACTTGACTAATTAACTGTCTGATATATGTGCAGTTTGGTTCCTTGCCGTCTATCCACGTAATGAGGTCACTTCGGATTGTTTGTGCTTCTGTTGTCGCTGAATTTGAAACTAGCTGACCAGCCTGCGTTGAAGAAAAATATATTAGAATCATGTTAAGTAACAGTTTATGTATCATAAGTGCAACAAGTTGTAGGGAAAATATTATTGCATTTGATTGATTTTGTAATCCTTTTAAACATTCATTCATTCATCGCTACTTCATTTTATTCTTATATATAAGTAATTGAACTTAAAATATGTTTATAATAAGTTTAGGCAACTCTAAGAAGATTATGAATGCATGGTTTAAGATACAATAGAATAGAATATAATATGTTATTTCCCTTGTTTACATGTTCCATTATGTCCTCTTAATGGATGGTGCCTTCAATCCGTGGTTGTCACCCACTTATACTGTACATGTTTCTTTGAGAGAGAAATATATACATACATCAATTTAAGCCTTTCATTGCCAACACGGTCAATGTTGATAGATGCTAGCAGAGGATTTGGCTTCAACAGTTAAAGACCTAAGATTGTTTCTTTGCAAGTCTAGTTTATAAATTTCAATGAAAAATAAGGAATCATAGACTATGTTCTAAGCTATGTTATAAAAAACAGTAAATTAAAGTAAATCTGACATTATCTGTGTTCTGTATGTAACCTGGAACTAAACTGTTTTCTTTAGCAACAAATTATGTTAATTGCAAACAAAACTAATCTTTGTACATATATACGAGTACTTTTTAATCAACTGATTTTTAATTATGTATGATGAAAAAAAGTTATAGACTGGCAAGACATAATGCAAAAAAAAATTGAATCTTGATAAATGTTTCTTAATAATTATTATAAATGAATAATTAAAACTTTTCAGGTAAAAATAATTACTAGCTATTCATAACTAGCAAAAAATTAATTTAATTACATATCAAAAAAATTATAAGTATATTTGTAGAAAATGTTTGTTACAGAAATAATTCTATACCTTTCTTAGATTATTGCCACAGAAAAATACATAATTTAATATTTGCTTATTAAAATCTGACAAACAAGATCTATCATTTATTCTTGGAGATAGACCTATGATGAGCAGTAGATAATAATGACTTTAAATGTCAACACTAGAATCCTAAACTTGATTCCAGACAGATACAATGAATTACTGGCATATTTTGTAATGTTTATACAAAACATAAACACTTATCATAGCTATAGTTAAGTCAAACAGTAAAAGGATATTGAATAAGTATACTCACAGTGAATATTCCTGATCTATACATTTCTAACACTTCATTTAACACCATAAGTCCTCGTTCCCTGCCAAGGAAATTGTTCAGAACACAAACACCATACTGAGTCATATCTCTAATCACTCTGTGACAGATTTCATAACAAGAGTCACTCGGGTCCATGTAGTAACTATTAGGCATGTGACCAAACGGTGCCCCGCTACCCTTCAGTGAGGCCTCAGGGTACTCCTTCGTCCTCGTACCCTGCTCAGCCCCATAGTTAGGTAGTACAGGCATTTTAGCAGTATCAGTCCTGTTCACTGCCCGTAACACATTAGAGGTACTTGGCGCTGAGAAGTCCACGGTGCTCAGCAGCTGCGCAGTCTCACGCAACACCTCCTGCTCCGAGGAACCCTCGTAAGTTATGGCACTACCCGTCGACAAGTCGCGGTTTGTATACACTACACTAGATATCACACTACTGTCATTGTGCGCCGAGGCTCTCGATGTGCCTGGCTCACTTTGTTTAACGTTCTCAGTCGATACTTGTGCGCTATGTTTACTAACACCTATCGTGCTACCCTCTTTACCACTATTTTTTACGGACTTTGATTTACTTTTTTTCGAACGTCTTGTATCACTACCGTCTTTTGAACACCCTTGGTGACTCTCCTCCGTGACGTTGGAAGTTCCGTCTTTCACTTTCTTCGTGGCTTCTTCACCAACTATCGTACGTTCACCTGAATTATCACTTTTCGTACCCTGCTTCGGTAACTTGGGTGCACATTCACTTCTATGTCTTTTCCAGTCTTGTCGTTGGTGGTCAGTATTACAATAATAAATGTTGAGACAGCGACCACATCTCCGCTGAGTTTTCTCGTTGCAAACAGCGCAACAAGCAAGGCCGCCTCCTTGATTCATTCTAAATAATTTCTCCCTACGGCCGGCCCCTACGACTTGTCAACTGAAAGAAATGTCATCGCCGACGTGACATTTATGCGGAAATCAAAATGACGACTAATTAACGCACACAAATGATTATGACATTTTAAATAACTTTTAATTAGCATTTATATACTACTATGATTTAAGTGTTGCTAACAAACTGTTAAAATATTAATTTTGTGAACATTTTTAAGTTTAATACGTATTTTAACTGACTACTACAGTGAATAAGGCTAGTTACCCACAATGGGAATAGTAAGAAGTAGTAAAATTACAATAATTTGAAAACTCAGTAATCGTTTTAGAATTATCATAGGCTGAAAATTATTTTTAAGATGTGTTTCAAGTGTTATTTAAATGAATAAAAGTAGAAAGATAAAAATAATTGGACAAACTGACTTTTAGCAAGATTAGCGCCATCTGGTGAAGAAAAAAAATATTGGTCCTATTGAGTACAATAACTCTAGTCAAATTCAATACTTTTTAGTGCGTGTGTTAAGACACAAATATTTAGTATATTGTAAAATCAGTGAATGAAAATGCAATTATTTTTTACTATTCATCGGACAACTACATGGATTTAAGGATTGTCACAGTTGGAGATTTTTTTGCTGACTGACGCTGAGGATCTTAAGAGTTGCTTAGTGTGCATTGCAGTGGCATAGGTTCGATGCCATAGCATAGTCTCGGGTGCCAAGACACTCGAGCACACTCGAGTCTCTCACCTTAATGTTAAGCACAGAGTACATTTTAACAATAGGAAATAGAGACCAATCTTCGATGTCAAATTGGGTAACTACTAACAGCGCCATCTGTAATTCATGTTAGACAACATTTTTATTATATATATAACCATATCTATACTATGGATGTGCATCTATAGATTGTTGGTTGTTTTTCGTTACTGCTCAACTACGTGACTGAAACGAGTAGTAGACAGTGTAATTCACTTTAAATATTTTAAAATTCTTATAGTGAATTACACTATCTACTGCTACAACAAAAAGAGGTATAAATGAAACAACATATTTGATGAAAATCTAGTTTATTTGTTTTTTTCTATAGTACTCGCTTAACTTTTTAGCTTTAACTTGCAATTTGTTCTCATCATCATCAACATCTTTTCTCCCAGCTAATATTATATTGATATTTTTACAGTAATTAAAAATTATAAATCTAATAACAATATTAATTAAAAAATCGATTATTTTTCTCTATTATACATTTTATAAATGTAAAATCAACAAAACTACTAACAGCTGTATTAATGATTAGCTTTAAATATAATTTTTCTATATTTTCTTTTGTTTGATTAAATCTTGCATATTGGAAATCAGCTCTATTAACTTCTTGCTGGGAGTGCAAAGCCATCGTCGACCTGCGTATTCCCTATATTTTATATACTCAATTTCATTTTTTTCCATTAATAGGTTACAACAATCTGTACAAGTTTTAAATATTTTAGATTTAATTTTCTTCAAAAAATATCCACTTATATATTGGAGAGGTCCAACAATACGGGGATCCCTTTCTTTAATTTCTATAGGTGTAAAATTAAATTCAATAATGTTTGAAAAATCAAACGATGAGCAGGTTGACGTTGTTTCTGCATTTTCGTTGATGGTGAGAGAATACAATGCATCGCAAAAGTCTTTTTCGCAGTTTCCGCGGGTGTGGACACTGCTTATATTATTTATTAATAATGTGGTGAAAGCCGATTCGAATTGGTCGCAGGTGGGATTAGTATTGCGGCACCCTTGGCTTCTTACCGCCCCAAAGAAATTTTCCAAGGGGTCCTGATTAAGATGCCGCAACCTCACTGACGACACGTTAAACTCATTTTGTAGTTTATTTATTCTACTCAGTGTCCACACCCAATCTATCTCGTTTTGACTCATATAAAATAAAGTCTGTTTGCTTTGCTTCTTGCACCGGCACAGCTCTGCATCACCCAAGGCTCGACTGGTAGAAAATGCCTTAGGCATTAAGTCCGCCTATGTACCCGCCTTGTGCATGAAGTTTGAATAAATAAATAAAACATACATTACCTGCCAAGTATCCCATATTAGACGCCATAGTACGACTGAATATTTGTGAGGCAAATTTAACCTTCATTTTATTAATTTTTAGAGGGTTGATATGATATTCCATTAATTTTGGAATCAACCTAATGCCTTTGTAACCAGGGTTTTCTTTGAGAAGTAAATTTAAATGCGAACATTTTGCAATTTTTGTTACACCATCTTTGGTGAATTCTAAATCTTTGCACATAAAGTTATTTCTAATTCCTTTGAGGAGATGTCATCAGTGTCATCATCATCAGGTCATAAAGTGGTACAATTTCTTGACCATTTATTAAAATTTTATTTTCTTTAGGCTCTTCACCTTTTCTCAAATAAATTCCCCTGTTCTCTTTAATTAACAGTTTCAGAGCCTGTCTGTTATTAGGACCCTGGTCACATACAGTAGCAACAACTATGAACCCTGATTCTTGCAAACCTCTTATCACGTCCTTTATTTGTTGAGCTCGTTCAGGTCCCTTAGTAGCACTCGACGCGAATGTATATGATATTGCCTGCTTATAATTATAAATTAAGCCACGTAACATAAAGACTTGAGCATGATCTGCAAATTCAGTTTAACCTGTTTTGCCCATTGTCAACAAGACTTGTGATTTTATCTTTTCTCTCGTTATATGCAACATTGCTCTTCAAAGAAACTTCGTCAAACATAACAACACATAACCTTTGTTCTATTTTCATGTTGTCAGCTTTATTTTTCAATTGAGAGAAAATATTACTGTTTATCCCAGGCTTGATGTTACAAATTTGTACTAACTTAATTAGTGTTTGCTGAGCAGGCTAAATAAAAAAAATCTCAGAAATCTATATCCTTTGGGACTTTGCTTAAAAATAGATAAGGAAGCAATTTTTTCTTGTAACGTAAAACGTCGCTCCTTTTCTTTTTTGTGGTCCTCTTGACATTGCATACTAATTAATAATTTTCTTGTACTCGTACAATTTTCTAGTATGTCGCATACTGCAGGGTTGGATGCAATTTGTTTCGCTGCTTTTACATTGACAGACAGTTTTTTAAATCTATTTTTCATTTTGCTTAACTTAATACTTGCAGCAACAAGTTTATCCTGCAGATACTTTTCTGTATTCGTAAGGAATACTCGACTCTTAGCTTTCTTCACCGTTGTTTTTTCTCCTGTAATTATATAAATTAAATAAAGTTAATCTATTTATTCAAAACTTTTTTTAGTTATACACAAGATTTTATTTGCACAACTTACCTAGATTAAGATGCACATTCGTTTCTGAAGTACTTGGTAAAGCAGCTTCTTGCATTGTAGCTGTGAGACCTGAAATGAATAATTGCACGAATTTATAACTTTTGTATATGGCGCCACTAAAATAAAGGAAAAAAATATATAAGTATAAAATGTAAACTTGAACAAAAACAATTTGAAGTCAACAATTGCAAAAAAATCCATAATTTGTTGGACAAACCCAAACTTATTAGTCTAACCACACTTTAAAGTGTGCTTACTACGTTATATCTACATAGTACCGAATGAATATGTTGTAGCGTAATAAGGACGGGGACTACATGAGAAAGTGCCTGGGTGACTGAGATTCATTAATTTCTTTTTTGTGCATTGTTTCAAGTAATGCATATAGGATACACACGATATTTAGTCAGTCTACTGCACAAGCACTTATTTACTCATCAACAATAAGTAAATTAGCTTCTAGTTGTGCCCTTTAAAATGAGATACTTTAAATCATAAACATTGGTATAGCTATTGTTTGGAGAATGAAGTGGACTCATTCAGGGATTTAATTAAATTATAATTACTTGAGGGTGATGGTCCATGGCCCAGATTTAGTTGTTGTAGGCTAGTGGTTGAAGGAGGAGTCAACGGTGCTGAAAAAAAAGCAAATATATATAGCACTTCAAATTATTTAGTAAAAAAATTACATAATTATACGTTTTAGATGCTATGAAGTGAAATAAATCGATGATGGCATGATGACCAACTTTCTGGCTTCTGACTAAATGTAACAACCGTCAATGTCTTACGATTAACAACAGGCAGCTATACATAATTTTATGCTTTACAATGTCACCAATGTCCTCGATAAACTTGTAAAGTACATTGACATTGTACTAGCATTTGCTAGGTGTAGAACCCGGCAACCATGGGAAGAATTGGTGTCATTTATATTTACCTGATTATGTTGATTGTAGGTTCTGAATTTGCTGCAAAGGCTGTCTGGTGGTATTTATTAACGAAGTCCGAGACAGTAATGCTGAAAAATAAAACATAGGTATTTGAATAAAGCAATTAATTACAAAGGCATTAAATATAAATTTTGTCATAACACTAGCCTGTGAGACACTTTTGTTTACGCAAAATAAGAATGTTGGAATGTTTAAAATAATATTGTAATATTAGGGTTTTGTAATATAAGTTCTTGTGTGGTTTAACTCTGTTAAAAATGTTATGGATGAACCACTCTTATCACTTAGGGGTAGGAAATATTAGCCAATTTTTCAGATCTACTGAATGTGGATATAAAATTTGATAAAATTATTTCAGAGGAGTTAGTCACATTCTGACACAAGAATTTTATATACATATAAGAGTTTTTATGATATCAGTCTTAAAATGCTTACAATTCTGACATGTTGCATATGACAATGTAGCACTGGGGGTGTGTAACCTGGGGTGTTTATCCAAAAGTATTTTGCAATATGTAGTGTTATACTTACAGCGCATTTTCAATGTTGGCACGGCAATATTACTGATTCTGTTGTTACGGCACAAATATTTATCCTCAAAGTGAGCATGACACACTCTATGGTTCAATATTTGTTCATTCTTCAAACAAGTTCAAGACTGTTAATTGCATACAGCCAAGTATTGAAGCCTTCTCTATCAACTACAGGATTCGGGAACCCATGAAGTACTTGATGCATACCTTAAATAAATAATAAAGTTTTATCATTGAAATAATCAAATTCACACACATAACATTAGCTGCATTGTCAAGATATCAACTTTATTATAAAATATGTAAACTTGCAATAAAAATATTGGCTCCATTAAACTCATAAAAAAACATGATAGGCAGTAAAGATAAAGATAATTTATTTGTAAAACACGAGTATACAGAACAAGATACATATTTATATGTTGTAATGTAGGATGTTAAAAGGAGTACAATAACCTTCATGTTTTGCTGTGGCTAACAGCGTACAAATGTATTAACTTAATTAAAATTAATATAATGATTTTTACATGGCATTACAAAGATAAACACAAAGAAAAAAACCTAAAGGAACAAATTGATTAACAGATGGATAAAAATGTCATAATGTTAGGAATCTGTTAGAAATTCTGTCAAATTATAGTAGCACCTCTCAATCAAATATTTTTTTAGGTGCACTTTAAAATGTTTTATATTTAGTAGCTAGTCATAAGTCAAAATGGGGCTTGAGAAAAATAAATTAAGTTTATAAGTATATTGCTATAGGTTTTAAAATATAGGTAGAGTCTACTTGTGCTGTTGATTTCATTAAATTTAATGTCATAGTACATTTAATTTGATTTGTATTGTTTGGGATTGACAACAAGTTTATGAGTTCGTTACACATAAACTTGTTGCTGTTGTAAGAAGTGAAGAAGCTTGTGCTAAATAAATAAATAGCTGGTCTGGCATACCTCCTCTCTCTTTACACCCTGGGACACAGCAGTATCTGCCCGAAGACATTGTAGGTTAACTTCACTCACAAGAATCCTGCCTCAATTAGAAAAACCTTCTCTGTTCACAATTATGCATTACTCGGAGGAACGTAAGCTCAACTCGACGAGAAATTCAGAACGAAACACAAAAAGGAGATCACAAACAAAATATCGCAAAATAACCGGTGCAAGCGAGCTATCAGCAGACATTCTTCTTTGTGTGTGTGCATGCATACACAGCATTATTTTCATTATCATTCTCTAACGCCATCTATTGGATCTACAGCGAAAAAGAAGACCAAACTGCCATCTCTTATTCATGTTGTTAACATCATCCGTCTACGTCACGATGTAACCCGACAAATTTAAAAACACATTAAAACTCATTTTGAACATGGGCTACGTCAGACTTCGTCATTTTGTATCATTGTATCCATTACTGTCCCCAGTTTTTTATTCTAAGTTTGAAGCCCCTGATGTTAAGGTATTACACCCTAACATTAGGGTGATACCTTAATGAGTTTACCTTTACCTTTCCTATTATAGTATAGAATTCGTAACTTTCGGTTCGTAAAGTAAGGGAAAACATTGCTTGTTTGCTTGTTTTATATTTTTTTTTGTAGTTCGGTTATGTTCAAAATTCTTTTGACATTGGTCGACGTAACCGATAATGGAGCCTATTTTTGGTACAGTTTATTCCCTCCTCCCTTCAAGGTTTGTGTTGTAGTTATCGAAATAAAGTAAAACCCTTTTTATAAAATTATTTATTTATTGAAATTATTGAATACATCATATGAATAAATTCTCCATTTTATTTCGAAATTGTCAAAATGTGTGCTTTGATTAAGGAGTAACTATGTAAATAAGCCTTATAAGCTTCATGGTTAAAAACAAAAAATCTGTGGTCTAGCTTAAAATTAGGTATGAACTACGAAAAGAAAAATATTTCGTGGAATGTGCATATTTATATAGGTACGCGGGGTGATGAAAAAGTTATAAATGAAACCTAAATAAATATTTAAACTTATTTACAAATACAAAAGAAAAACAATTGATGATAATAAAATGATGTGATGAAAGGGATCATGAATAAAAACAGACTAGATTAGTTCTACGTCGAGTCACGTTCTTGTTTCATACCTACACATCGTTTCCAAGATGTGGTTGATAATAATTATTATAGTTTTAAGCAGAATAGTGTCGAAGTATAAAGTCATTAAAGTGAAGGAGATCGAGACTCAACGAGAGGAACTAAAGAATGCGTAAAGGCGCGCGTAGTATTAATTTACGCGCGCCCCTGCGCTTACTTAATAATAGTTACTTACACTAATATAAAACATAACAAGATACATTTCTTTAGAATCCTAGAAATTATGACATAAGATACATTTCGAGATAAATATTTTCACTTTACATGTAAGTATGTTATAGTTTTTAAGATTCTTACATTAATTTGACAAGATACTTTGGGATAGTTACAATTTTTCTCTATGGTTTACGTAGGTATATTTTATTTACAAAGAATATTGTAACTACCACATAGTTCCCAAGATATATCAGAGATTCTTTAAGGAGAATGCGACCATCACCTATCAGTCTCTAATATTTAACGTCGACCGTAGACATCAGAGAATGTCCTTTTTAAACTTATCTCTGTACTTACATTTCAAATAGGAGAAAGATATTTAAATTTATTAAAGTTTTAATTACCTCACCAATCCTTTATTTAAAATTAATGTATCTGAATAACTACAAAGTTTTATAAAATCATAAATACAGAGATAAGGCAGTAATTGAATATAACTACATACGTTACTCAAATTCTAGCCAATATTATTTTGGACCCTATAATTACTTTAGTACCTGTACTATCGTTACAATTGCTTCTTATACGAGTAACGCAGGCTTTTTTAACCATCCATGTTTATTACAGTACTGAAGTAACCAATTGTATAATACCACTTCTACATAGATATGACTTACTTTAAATTAATATTATCGTTCTACCTGTTCGTAACTAAAGCGAAATTTTTAACACATTATAGATCAAGTGTTCTACTTTAGATAGTATTCTTAAGAATTATTTTATAATTGTGTAAATTTTATAAGTTTCTTATGTAAATAGAACCATAATACTTGAAGTCAATAACTAGCAGATAAATTCGTATGTGCTGCGAAAGTCTGTTCCCGGCTTTACAACTTTATTGTCATGAGTCCAAGTGTTTTAAACTACGAATTTAATACTTGGCAACCCTATCAGTGACAATAAGTTTTAGCGGGAAATTTGAGTGGTCGTATCCATGTTCTACAGTAAAGTTTTAAAGCATTTTTGTCTTAAGACTACAGTTATACTCTTGTTTGGTCATCATTTAGTGGTGGGACAGGAGGAGGAGGGGCATGTAAGACTCTGGCTAGCTCCGCTTTCTCGTCAGCGGAAAGGACGTAAACGGGAGGTGCGGCCGGCAGGAACCGCTCGGCTTTTTGTGGTTCCCGTTGTAATCTCGCGCGGTACAGCATCACAAGGACACATAACACGCTGATGATGAAGGCTGAAGTTGCAGCTAGTACTATAAGTGCAGTATGATATGAAGTTGTAGCGGAAACCTGGAATATAAAAATGTTTTAGTACAACTACTTAGGTACTTACAAGATTAGGTAGGCTTGTTAAATATCTTTTAAAAACATTTTTATCCCCAAGAAAAAAACTTTGTGAGTTTACACTAAAGTTAACTATAGACACACCTTAACTTAACGTGTAAGTACCTATAAGTATAAAATTGCATCTCAATAGGTTAAATAAAGACACTAAATTCCGCTTTAAAACATAGATACCTACTGACATTGCTGAATGTTAAAAGTTTAAAGTGCTTTTCTGTACTTTCTGCCTAGGGAAGGGAACTATGAGAAGTCATAACTTACAGTGGATTCGCTCAGTATTTCCCGTTGTTGCATTGCAGATCGGTTGGGTGTGGTTAGACGGTACTCGCTTCGTATGACGTCAGCACCCAGTATCACTTCATCATTTGTGTTCTTGTAACCCGCTAGTTTTTCTTGTTTGACCTGCGTATATGAAAAACCATTTTTATGCGAATTAGCTCCAATTACATCAAACTTTATAGATAGGCCAAAGAAAGCATGGAAATGATTTTGTGAGGTTACCGGAGGCCCAATTATTTTCCTTTCCCAATACCTAAATCTCTAAATCTCTAATCCCCAAAAGATCCTCTATTGTTGGGGGTGTCCAAGGGCGGCGCTGATTGCTTACCATCAGGTAATCCGTCTGGTCGTTTTCCGACCTATCACATTAAAAAAATTGCAACCCCTAGGTACTGATATTCTGACTAGCCACATTCACCCACAGCTCTCTAGCTGCGAATCCAGCAACAAGTGGTGAAACTAGCAAATTATAAGGTAGGAATAGCTAAAGAGCTTTAGTGGCTTTAGAGGTGTGGTTGGCCAGCTCAATGACGTTATAAGTCAAAAGCTCTTGCTTATAGGCAAAAGGACTAGAAGTGAGGGTTTCTTTCAAACATACCATGTTCTCAATATGGTAGATATAGTCGACGGCATGTGGCCCGCTGAGCACAGCTCTCAAGCGTAACGCGTTGCGCTCGCGACTGCTGTGCACAGGAACATGTGCCCCCAGTGCTGCCAGCCGCGCTGATAGCGCTGCTCGCGAGACTTCTGCCCTCGCCGGCTCTACATTCACCAACTCCAACTCCAATATCGCTGTTTCTACTTGGGTTTGCTCTGTAACAAATAAAGAAGATTGATTAGACAAGAAACTTAGTGATTTATAGAAACGGTCTAATGATGATTGATGATCAGTAGATACTTTTATAGGTACTAATATTATAAAGAGGCTGTAGCGACATCTATCGCACAACATTGACAACAGCACCCATCATGTGCAAGTTTCTACATCGCGCTATAATAGTTTACATCACAATTAGCACTGATATAAAAATCCCGACAACAACCGACGGGCAGTAACCCACCAGGCACAAACACCTCGCCTGGTCGGAGGATCCTCCCTTTTCATCGGAGGATGAGGAACTTTCTACCCTGTTCCTCATACCTCTAAACTGGTGACCCCTTAATATAGGAGGTAATCTTTGGAACCGCTCGCTGGTCGGATTTCAAAATTCTTTCACTGATAGATAACTACAATGTTCCTGAGTGCTATAGGCTAGACGTAAATTACACTTGATGTGCTTTAGACGCTGCTGGTTTTAAAATACTGGGATAACATACTTTTACACGCGTGCAGGCGGAAGCTAGTATTGAATAGTCTGATCATTAGTCTTATAATAGCTGAATATTTTTGGAATTGTTTGGACAAATGTTAGTACACTTTTACAGTACCTATGTTATATGAACATTGGGTTTTGATACTTTAATAAAAACTTTTTTATATGCCTTACCGCACGGATCAGGTGCTGGGGCATCGTTGATTACTCCCGCATGATGCCTTCTCTGTCCTGCGGCGTCCACACACCAGCATCGGCCCCGTGAGCATTGCCGTGGGGCGAATTCGCCGTTTTCTAAACAACGTGGCCGCATACCGTCTGCACCTGATTGAATAAAAGACATTTGTAAATTCTAATTTATGCATTTCCTTCACAGACTACTTACTTTAATTATTATATATTTTAATTATACTTTACGTACGTATTTTAATAGTAAATCTATACTTTAATAACTAACTAACTGACATGAAACAACTACAGCTTTGTATTTCGCCGTGTGAATGAGGTTACCGAAGGCCTAAACGTCCCCTAATCCCTAAAAGATCACTCGTAGCTCCTCTATTGTTGCGGGTGTCCATGGGTGGCGCTGAATGCTTACCATCAGGCAATCAGCATGCTCGTTAGGCGGCCTATCACATCGGATCTATCGGTCATCGTATCAACATATCGGATCTGCCTACAACTTACCATTCTCGATTTCTTCTTGCATCATCTGACACTTCGTTTTAAATATCAATTTATCAACATTAACTTCTAGATTTTTCTCAAATTTTCTTGTTGTTTCTGCTAATTTTGGTTCCACGATCTCCGATACTACTACGGGTTCGTCTTTTTCATTCGTCTGTTGTAGCATTCTGTCTATAGATTCCTCGTCTCTAACCTCAGCTTCGAGTTCTAAATCATCTTCTACGTCATCGTCATCATCGTCATCGAAGTCGTCCACTCTATAAGCAGTCATTTGTCTGATGAGTTCTTCTAGTACTGGAAAGGAAAAATGAGAGTTATTAGCACTTAATCAAGTAGGAAAACCACTTTTCTGCAGTTTTGTTTCCATAACCGTTTATTTTTCACTAGCTTCCTCGCGGCTTCGCTCGTGTGGTATGTTGATTAAAAGTTGCCTATGTCCTATTCCGGAGTGTATGCTACGCCTGCTTCAACTTTCATCCAGATCCGTCCAGCCGTTTTGGCGTAATTGAGCAACAAACATCCAAACATCGTAACTTTCGCATTTATAATATTAGTAAGATAAAGGTTACTTAAGTAATTGGTGTTTTACAGTTCGTCATAATTACCTTCGTCAGCTCTAGCTCGTTCGTCGAGCGGGTCTCGCGGTACCCATTTGCGTGCTTGTCTGAAGTTACACGAGGGTTTGGCGCCACGTACTAAAGATCCCTTAAGAGGTTCACCGCGTGCACTCACACACCAACACACGTCTGAAAATAAGTCAAAAAGTAATTTAAAAAAAATTCTTCGTTTGAAACAGAAAATATTTTTTTACAAATTACCTATATTTACTCACCAATATGTGACATACACTGAACTGGCTCCCAAGCACCACTGCCGTCGCATTTTGGAATAAAGGTCCCTTTGCCGTACTTAAGGGCAGCTGCCTCGTTCTTTTCACGTAGTCTCTCGCAAGGGCTCAGTACTGTATCATTAAGTGAAAAATGTATATTGATTAAATTTATAGGATTTTTATTGATTTCATACTACAAGCTACTGTTCCATGACACATTCGTCGTCGACTCTAGCTTCACTTTTTCACTAAAACTGTTTGACTTCATTACTGAAGCCAACTGTCTACTTAGCTCTCCCATGCTTTTCCGGAGAATCCAATCTAGTTACGCTACTTAAACATGCGGTTAGAATCCAAAGTGCAAAACATAATTGTGAAGTTAACACAGGTAGGCAGTAATTTAAAAACATTTATATACAAAAGAATTAACGACATGCCTTCGTCTTTCGATATCTGGCCTGTCTTCCTTTTTTTATTTTGCGTTCTTGTAGATACCCCTTCCACTGTTTTAAAAGATAAAAGTTACTTAGTAGGCGCGCTAAAATCTTTAAAGCTAATTGGGTAAATAAATTTATGTACAAGATCAGTCTATACACACAACTTATTTACAAAAGCTGTTTAGGTTTGATTTGGAAGGTCCTTTGTAGAATTTGGGAAATGAAAGGTCCAATTAACTAAATCGGTTTTATGTTCAATAGAGAAACTGTAGAGACGTGAAGAAGCCTTGGTGAATTGTGTAAAATGTTTCTTTTATTATCCTTTAAGGTGGAAAATGGTGTAAATTCATGTTAGGGGTGGTCTTTAGTCAGCAAGAACCTAACATTCTCTCAACTGGACTCGACACCGCACACCCAAAAATAACCTATTCAAAATGTAACTTAACGAAAGTAGAACTTACCAGGGCAAACATTGTTGCACTCCTCCTTTGTCCTGAAGTTGTTATGGTTTCCGGAACATCCATGATACTTGAACCTCTCGCAACGGTTACGTGCGTGATTGAAGTGCCATCTTGTTGTATTTAGAACATCACCTTCTGTGCAACTGCCCTCATCTTTGTTCTCGAAACAAACCGTGCCTAAAAAGATCAGAAGAAACATGTAATTTATAAAGAATCAACCATTTGTTGACTAGCTCTGGATTTTATCATCATCGTTATCAGCCCACTGCTGCCCTAAGGTCTCTTCTTACATTACATCACACTGGAATTTATAACGTGTGAAAATTTGGTGCTATATTAAAAAGCACACGTCATCTCTATATATCTCTTCCCTATGACCGACTTCTTACCTACACTCTTTGAATTATTATACTCTTTAAAAGTAGGTACTATTGGATTTTACAAATATTCTGACTATATATGTATATGTATCTCAGCTTTTATGTTCTCCCTCAGTTACTTACGAGGTTTGGGACAGCAAACAGACGGTGTTGAATCGTGGGGAGCGAACCGACAGGCATGGGTGGAAGGACAAGCCGCCGCACTAGGCCCACATAACAGTGGCCCTGAGCCGTCTGGAGCTTGAAGTGGATTATGACCATCTGGACACTGTGGTGCAGGGGTGCAGCGCGCTAGTGGAGGGCAGGAACTACCCTGTAAAGTAATAAAACATGTATTGTCGAAAACGAATACATAAACTAAACAATAAGAAGACTAGGTATTAAGGTTAAAATAATAAGAATTATCCATAGCATTTTTGGGTGGTTTCAGAACAGGTTTAATAAGACGCCATTTCTGTCAATCATTTTAATTGGGTAGCTCGTTTCGATAAATTATAATGAAATAATAATGAAGTCGTCTCACCTCGCACTCCAAAGGTACAAGTTCGCAAGACTCATCATTTCTGCATTTGGCTTCGGCGCAAGGATCCTTACAGGCGCAGGTAGGACATCCTTTGCTGTCCAGCTCCCAGCCATGGGCACATGTCACCACATCACAAGCTGGTTGGGGACACTTTACAGGCGCATCGCAGTTTGGTGTGGAGTTCGTTACTCGCGTACCAAGAATCTGAAGAAAGTATTTTTTTATTGTTTATAAATAATGAACGCACATTAATCTAAATGAGAGAGAATAATTTGACCATGCACGAACCTCATTACCAGCAGTGTCGACACACCAGCAGGCCTTATCAGACCCTCTGCATTGTATAGGTTCGTAGGCACCATCCTCTTTGCATTTAGGTATCCATGTCCAGGCTGGTGGGCTGCCGCTCTCAGCCGCAGTATGTAGAGCTAACGCCCTGGAAAATAATATACATATTCTCTATCTGTTAAAAGATAAACTCACATCGCCTTGACCTTTTTTGTGAGGGGATAATCATCCAATGACTTTACTGAGGACAACTAAAAACTACACTGTGCCTGCTCCTGCTTTAGGCCGCAGTGCCTTATTGGGCTTATTGCGCTAGCACCGCAAGCCTGACTGAGTAACGGCCCTCTGGGTCCCCGTCTGTGGTGGTCTACTGGCTCTTTGAAGCTACGCATCGTACGCCCAACCACCGTACCTCGTCTTGACCTGGCACCAGGCATTGTGGTGCATAATGCAAAAGGTGACGATGTACAATGATGCGAATAATGTATGCCTACCTTCTTTGCTGACAAGCAGTTTGGTGTACAGCTTTCGTGCAAGCGGTTCCGCAACCCGTCGCGCAACATCTCTCAGTAGGCCCGCACTCTGCGTCTGTCCTACACGACCACTCACAGGCACCATTTGAAGGCACTAAGTAAGGACACTGTCCTGGTTTCTTTGGAAGACCTGAAACATTTAAAATGGTCGTTTTATTTACGTAAATAAAAACATAAACAAAGAACTATGTATGATACAGTAAGAACATTTTTAATCAAGGAATTGATTGGGTATTTACTTACATGCAGGCACAGGTGGACAGTAATCGGCGTCGCAAGCGACATCTACAGTTGCACAGGATCGTCCGACGGGACACTGCACTCCTGCGCAAGGATCGCGGCATCGACATGTTGGGCAGCGTCCTGAGCCTAGCTCAAATCCGTAGTCGCAACCCATTCTACATGTCATTTCCAAGCAGGAAAGATTAGCACGAACACTGTTGGAGAAGAACAAAATTATAGATTGCTTCATTCAGTTGTTGAGAAGTCTTAGGAATTATGGCCTATGATGGAGTGAGTGAGAAAGGACACTGGTGTCCGCTGTGGGTTCGAGACCATGCCAAGATGTCACAGAAGACAATGGTTTGATGAGATTTAGCTTAAAGGAATAGATATGTGAAAATATAACACAACTTACACATCACAGTCCACAGCTGAAGCATTATTGGTGCTAGTCTCCGGAATTTCCGTGCCGAAGGTATCGACGCACCAACAGCGGCCGTTAGCGCACTGTTGTGATGTAAAGGACCCGTCAGGCTTGCAAGTCGGGGCTGGCAAGGCGAGCTTCATACCGTCCACCGTGCCTTCCATCTTTTCATCAAAGTCGCGGAGGTATTCGCACACTGAAAAGGTTATACAGAAAAATAACTAAGCCGTAGCGACATCTACCGCTCAACACGCAGCAACAGTACCGATCACATTCAAGATTCTACATCGCGGTATAACAGTTGTCGACGCAATGAGAACATCGAGAACAGGATGTTGGTATTCTTTGCATTGTACCTACTTAAATAAGCGTGTCAAGAAATTAAAATAAAAGTGCTTACTTGTAGGTGATTCGTCCACCCTTTCTGATTGTAGTTTCATTTTAATAGGATCTACACACACTGGGCCACAGTTGACAGTAGAACAGCACATCAAGTCGTTATCACAGTCACCTTCGACGCAAGATAATGTAGAGTTGAGGCCACATTCCGCTTCTACCTCGGGACCACAGGGCTCGAAGTTTATCTGAAATAATATATAGTCAAACTTAGAAAGTGATAAATACTATTCGAAAAATAATCTGTAATGTGCATAGGTATTTAATACAATACGGTAGTTTCCAATTAAGCAGTCAAATTCAATACTTTTAGGTATCCTAATGTCAAAAACGGCAATTTCCTACGAAATTTTTATGAAACTAAATTATGATGTAGAAAAAATTTACTTATTTATTTTTCAATATTTTGTTGTATTGAAACGTCGAATTAATTTAATTTTAGACCTAGGAAACTACACAATTAACACGTTAAACGCCACGTAGGTCACCGGAGACCCACGTGGCGTAGGCACGGCAGCGGAGGGATGGCCTTCAACAATTTTCTATTGGCAGTCAAACGCTTAAAATGTATTGTATTAGTTTTTTACCTCCATAACATCAGGTTCAGTAGCATTACTGATTGAGAGAGGATCTGGACAGCAAGCTACAGCACCGCTTCTAGACTTTGTACAGACATGGCTTTCTGGACAGTCAGTGTCCGCCTGACACACTTCTGGAGCACCACTTGCATCAGAAACCGGAACACCTATCGCACATGGATTCTCGTATGCTACTTTTGGACGACCTGCAAATAGAAGGAAGAATTGGTTTACTATTTTTTTATTTTTAATAAGTTCTATTAAATCAAGTAGAGTTCTATTAGAGTAAATTTATATTGTAGCTGTATAAAATACTTACAAATTGGATATCCTGAACAAAGGTCTCCAGCGCATTGTGCTTCCTTAACTCTGATGCATTCCTCGCCTTCTGGGCAAGGGAATCCAGCGCAAGGGTCGTCACATTCACAGGTGGGACATCCATCAGCTCCCGTTTTATACCCGTATTCACACACAGCAGCACACAGTGCTCTTGCACAGGAATTTAGGCTCCGAGCCCCAATCCGAACAGGTAGAGGAGTTGAGGGACACTGTACTGATGTAGATGGACCCATTGATCCTCGAAGCTTGTTACCATCTGCATCAACGCACCTGGTACATGAAAATATTTAATTTTGTAAATCTTTGCTACTGTTAAGAGTTATTCAAATTAAAGTTTTGTTGGAAGCTATTGTTACAACTAACCAGCAAACCAATCCATTTCTTGAGCACTGTCTTGAAATAAACGATCCGTCTGGATCACACTGTGGGACGTATCCGCGGCCTTCTTTCTCACTTACAACCAACAGTTCTGCTAACATCTTTTGCTGAGTACACATTGTTACGTTAGTTGGTAGAACGCAATGTTTGCCACATTCGCCACCATCACAGCATTTCTGCATTGAAGGACATTCCAAGTCGTGGGCACAAGGAGTTCCACATCCCTCGTTGCTGGGTGCTGGACATGTTCCTGCTTTTTGGAGCTCTAGAGATGCTGGACAACATACGCCGTAGTCATTTCCTGTAACAAAAGATTTGTTTAGTAAACAGACTAATGAATGCTGATGATTGTATCAAAATCATCAAAAATATCGTATGCACCAACCTGATTCAACAAGGCATTGATACAATGGTGGGCAGTTGGGTTTCCCAGGGTCAGTACCACATAGGAAAGGTCTGCTGGTCTCCGAAATCAACAGAGGTTCTCCCACAGGACACAGGTTCATTAGACTACGGCCTCGTTTACCTATAAATTACAAGGTTGTCTAAGTTACTCATACGGAATAAACTTTTGTATTAGCATATATTCTGCTGTAATAACGTGCAATGTTGCTAAGTTATTCATAATTGTTACGTCGTGTTTATGTTTCATTAGTAAGTATTTAGCATATCGTCATATAGGTTTACGAACATCCTTGTTTGGTGAACACAACTCATAATCTAAATCTATCAACAAAGGTATTTTGTTTAGTTAGGCAGACTGCATTTTTTACCAACCCTCTCAAGTTACTGAAGATCAAAGTCAATATTTTTAACTTTCTACCCTACTTTATCTTAAATATTAGTGTTTATCCTTTTACTTACATGTAGGTATAGGTGGACATGGTGGTTTAAGGCAAGGAGCTTCCTCTAGCTGACAGGACAGCTGTCCTGGACAAGTGACAGTGGAACAAGGATCTCTACACTTGCATAGCGGACATCCACGTTGGTCCAGCTCGAAGCCTAAAGGACATAGCATCCTACATGTGTGTGCAGCGCAGGGTGCCACTCGTGTGCAGTTGACTAGACTTGCTGCAGGAGCTCTTGTTCCTGGTAACTGTTAAATTGAAAGTCTTTAAGCAAAACTTAATTGACATGATTTGAAATAGTATCACCACATGGTATAAAACACAGTCCATTTCTCTGTCCCTATAAATCTTAAGCCTTGAAAACTACGCAACTGATTTTGATGAGGTTTTTTAATAGATATATTATTTGAAGAAGAAGGTTTATATGTATAATAGGTACCATCTATCAAAAAGTGAAGCAATTTTGTATCAACATTGCACCCGTGCAAAGCCAGAGCGCTACGCTAATTGTTCGCTATAAATTGATTTTCTTATTGGATTTACTGAAAGGATTCTTACGGCGTTTTTTACGCAACTGAATATATTTTTGAAGACCACACAAACCTAAATGAAATTTTACGATTACAAGATAAGAAAATAAATGAATATTCATTGTATCCGAATCTCACCTCAAATCCAGCAGCATCAACACACCAGCAGGTGCTAACAATCTCATTATCACACTGGATCTCCTCGAATTCTCCATCCGTGAACCTGCAGCGAGGAGTCCTCATAGGGGACAGCCTGCCTCGGCCACCACGGCTGTTCTCCGCAGCTAAGGCTCGAGATATCCTCTCCGTAGACATTTTTACATTCTCACATCCTAAAAGATGATAAACAACATTGTTTCTTAAGTAGTTATAACAATTTGCACAGTTTCTAAGCTTATAACAGCAATAACCTACGCTATAAACTTTGTGATTAAATAGAGGAAGTTGGGACTGCATTAATTGCTTTGGTAATTGTATGTCCGCTTGTTTCATTTATTTACTTTGTTGCTCTCCTGAAGTTTGTTAGTGTGATAAAGTTTAACTACCTGTGTTCTGCATTTCAGTTTACTTTGTATAATTAGATTTGATTATTGAGGTTCCTTAAAGCACACACACATATTTTTAGCATTGTCTGGTCTTTGTAAGACCTCTGAGTTTGTTTCGGCTTTTCTTCTCAGAGCAGTAAGATAGGAAAAGCCGGCTTCATCTAGTTTTCTTTTTCATATAATTTTGACGTGTAAAAAGTGCTGTTTTAAGGCCTATTTACAAAAATAAATTCATTGTCTCATTGATTTGATTGCACGACTATCCTTTAACATATCGATCTCCTGTGTTTATTTGGATAGTGGAGGACATTCATAAATAGTGGCCCAGTGTATTTAATTAGATTGGACACTGACCTCAGCCTAAATTAGTTAGTCTGAATTAGATGATGTTACCTGTGAAAAGTGGGTCGACACAAGCTTGGCCACAACTTGTTTGGCAACATATTTTCTCCCCGCATTGGTTGTCCGAAATACAAGGTATCGCACGCGGGGGACATGCACTTTGTTCCACTGGACACCGTCCTCTGAGCTCCGCGCTTGCTGCAAAAACGAGGGTAGATGTAATAAGTTTTTTTTCTATATTAATATTATATGGATGTAAAATTTGTAAGTTTGTATGTTTGTAAGTTTGTAAGTTAGTATGTAAGGGGTAATCTTAGGAACCGTTAGTCGGATTGCCAAAATTCTTTCACTGATAGATAGCCACAATGTTCCCGAGCAGCGGGTGAAACCGCGCTAGAGTAGCTAGTAATATACATATACTTGTCAAGTACTCGCAAATAATGCAATAATAAAAAAGTAATGTTATTGCAAAAAATTTGTATGAAATTGCTAAGTAGAGTTTTAAGTGTGGGAGAGCCATGCGTCACGAATGGCTCGATCGGACCGGATTGATACCACGGCCTTACAGAAACTCGGCGTGAAGCAATGCTTACGTTGCATTTCCGTGTGAGGTTACCGGAGGCCGAATCCATCATCCCCATCTTCAATCCTCAAACCCCCTATCCTTAAATCCCTAGTGAAACACGAGAGGCTGGCAAGGCACTTATTGCCTTTGGTATTACTGGTGTTCATGGGCGCCACTGATTGCTTACCATCAGGTAATCCGTGTGCTCGTTAGCCGGCTTATGACGTTTATAAAAAAAGTTCTCTAATCTGGGGCCGATGATTGGTAATAAAAATATCTTAAGCGATAAGAATCGATTGGTAGGTATATACCTACCTATTATGCGTGGTACAGCTCGGATAGGCAAGTGTGTAGAAAATTGGCTGATATGTTTAATTAACGCGGCCCATTAATTAGTGTGGTAACTGGTGATTTAAAGGCGTTATTATTACGATATGAATATTGATCTTTTCAGTTTTTTTTAATCGTTAATTGCAAATTTTGCGTACTTAGGTAGGTATTGAATTTATAACCACGTGCGGTAGGCGATTGTTATTATAGTGTACTAGCTGATCCCGCCGTTTTACCCGCGTATTTTATAGCTTATGTTCTCGGGGAATAGTGTAGTGTTTCAGAATCAATTTATACAATGCAAAAAATAAACAATCAAATCTGCCCTCTTTATAATATTAAAGCTTGCTTTATCACGTTTAACGCCATGGAGGTAACCGGTGACCTCCGTTAGCGGAGAATTTGCCTTCAACAGTTTTGCTGTCGGCAGTCAAAGGCTTATTAGATTAAAAGTTGGTGTATTGTGTAGAAAATATTATAGTAAATTATTTGGCATTTACCGTGCTGCAGTAGCAGTGTGCAAGTGCAGAGCAGCACCGCCCTCACCGCAGCTGACATCGCTGCATCACACACGCGAATGCTGTAAACAAAACACACTCGTTAAGTATTTAAAGTATGGGAGAACCATGCTTCGGCACGAATGGGTCGGCTCGACCGGAGTGATACCACGGCCGCACAGATAACCGGCGTGAAACAACCACAGCGTTGTGTTTCGCCGTGTGAATGAGGTTACCAGGAGGTCCAATACTTCTCCTCCCCCAATCCCTAAATGTCAAATGCCTAAGGTCGGCAACGCACTCGTCAACCCTCTGTTTTTGCGGGTGTCCACGGGCGGCACTGATTGCTTACCATCAGGTAATGCGTCTGCTCGTTTGCTGACCTATCACATAAAATAAAACAATACTGAAATTTTTAATTCTATCGATAGGTACGTTTTTATTTTAATCAAAAAATAATGCTTTATTGTTTTCAAGATTTTCCTCGAAGCAGTCAACTCAGAGCCCATCAGTAGGCAGTTAAATGAATACAATACATCATTGTCAAGATGGATTTCTTTATCTGATCATGTTTATTTATGCAAGGGAGGTCCTCGTAGCATTTTTGTTTAGTACTTGCGCCTGAGTCATACAAATTGTCCGACTTTAACAAACATGGCTGTCGGCCTTGTAGCTTTATTTTATTTAGAACCATTGTTACATTTTAATTCTGATACATTATATTAATGGAGTGGTAATATACAGAACACGATGTACCTACGCATGGATTTCCTTAACGATTTCACCGGCGTTTGTTTTTGCAGTAGGTACCTAACTATTATCGTTCTAGAATTCTAGACTTAGGTTCGTCAAGGCAACATAGTTAGGTGTGATATTGTAACACGCACGGCGTCAATGCAAAGATCAGTGTTTTACGAAACAATCACTTATTCATTCACTTTTTGCAGTCAAGATAAATGTGATAATTAAAAACAAGGAAACGAGGCGTGAAAATGTTACATTGTTATTTTTCTTTGTAGGCAGTGTTTTAGTAAAAACAGGTTAAGAATAATAATACTAGTTTAGGAGGAAAAAGGAACTTTTACTTAAAGAGTCTACCAAAAAAGTTGTACACATAACGTACGAACCAGTCAATCACGTCTTCGTGACGTGTGCGCATACAGACGGTTCTACGGTTTGAATTCCGAACGTGCGCGCATGCGTCCTCGCGCCACTTAGCGGTTACGTACACCGGGCTTTCCCGCGCAAACCGATGCGCAAAGAATTTATTTTATTGTTCTACAGTCAACTATAATTATAAAAAACTGTTTTTACGTATCTGAGTAATCTGTTAACGATGTTGCTCTCAATTTTGTAGTACCTACCCTTCCTATTTTAACCATATCTATGTTTATTGTATTGTTGGTCAGGTAATGACGCAACAGCCAAGCCCAGCATGCTAATTAGATATTACTTTCTCCGATTTTAGTTTGAGTCTGACGTTCGTCGGTCGTTGACCCTCGTTCTATCATAGTGCATCATAACTTAATAGATGGATGATCATAAACATTTTGAAATTTATGAGTTCCTTTTGTAAGAGTGCGAATTTGAATTACTAATACACCTGCAAAACGTACGTAACTAGGTCATTATCAAATTGAGAATGATTCAACCATAATACTTTTACTTTCACCGAGATATTCGTACCTGCTTATTGAAAGAATTCATTCGTAGGAATAGATATGTAGGTACCTACTACCAACACTTCACTTATGTTTATTCAAATTAGGTATTTTACCTAGTAATTTCTTAACCGGATTGAATCGGTTAGAAATAGATTTAGCTGCATGCTGTATGTCCACGGAATAGAAAATACAGTGGAAGTGCCGCTCAGACATCGCGCGCTAACCAACATGATGACTAGATATACAACATTTTGGCACATTTGTTGTCAGAATCGTTCGATCCGTTGTCATGATTGGTTGTCATGGTTGCCTCTAAGAAACACGAAATATATTAGAAATTATGCCTTGTTGTGCGGTTTTCAACTGCAAAAAAGTAAGCAGAAAAAAAGATGAGTCTTGTGGTGGTGTATCGTATCATCTTTGAGTATTAAACTTTGTTAATTTTAAATATATTTGATTTAAATGTAAATATCACATTTCATTACTTCAATGCAAACTATAAAGGGCCTTATTTTCATTACAATTAAGTTTAAATCTACTTGTTCGTTATGTGACGTTAAATACAATACATTCTAGTAGTTTCGACGCTACTCATTTAGGGATGCGACATATTCGTAAAATAGGTTCATATCGATAATTTTTCATCATCATCGTTCAGAAAATTGTTTTTGACAATTTTTGTGTATAATTCATAAATTTTTAACTAAGATTGCATAGACACATCAACGTTTTAACCACACACAGCGTGCATCCGTCTGTGGCAGGTGCGGGTGGTTAATTACCATTTTTATTTTATAACTAGTTTTCGCCAGCGGCTTCGCCCGCGTGCTGTGTTGATAAAAAGCAGCAAATAGCAATAGAACAAAATCTAAGTATACATAAAATTTGGTATTTATCGTCTCATTTTTATGGGTACATCTCCAATGGGTAAATACCCTATTACTTACTAAGTCTCCGCAGTCCATCCGTCAATAGATAGAAAGGTACGGATCTAACTAATAGGTAAGAGTTACAAATATTTGATAAAACCTATATTATATTATATTTTATACCGCATCGTGTCGAGCACGGCAACCGCTACACAAAAATAATTCTTATACCATGATTCAGTGTTCACTTGCGACGGCGCTATGTCTTATTATCCGAATTGCTAAACTATCAGGAGTTACACGTGCTATTGTGAGTTAACCATAAAAGATAGACATATGCTGTAAATCATTTTTTTTAGACAATTTAATTTAAAATATTTCCGTCATACATAATTTCTATGTAAGTTTAACCATTAAGGTTACACACGCGACTGAAACTTACAAAAGGAAGTAACTTCTCCCGTTTTCCCAACATTTTTCTTCACTGCTCTGCTCCTATTATTTGTAGCGTGATGAAAAGTATCCTATAACCTGCCCAGGAGTATAAAGAATAATTGTACCAAGTTTTGTTAAAATCCGTCGAGTAGTTTTTGTTTCTATAAAGAACATACAAACAGACAGACAGACAGACAAAATTTTTACTGATTGCATTTTTGGCATCAGTATCGATCACTAATCACCCCCTGGTAGTTATTTTGAAAATATATTTAATGTACAGAATTGAGCCCTCTACAGATTTATTATAAGTATAGATGTTGTACATGATTTTTATCAGAGTTCCAAAAAGGAGAGTGACTCTCAATTCGACTGTAACATTTTTTTTTTTTTGTTTTTTCGTCTCCGTTATTTATGAACCGATTTTAATGATTCTATTTTAGTTGGAAAGGAGATAAAACTTGTAGGAGCGCGCAGTGCTTTTATATGTTAAAATCGAAATCTTTAATAATAACTTGACCATCTCCAAAAAACATTAAATCTTCAAAAAATATGTTAATATTTTTCTTTTTTTCTATTAGAACCTTTTTTATTACTGATCATTTGTTAGGTATATCGTGTCGATAAATTATATTGCTCACACGAATACAAAAACATCGATATATTGGGATACCCTGCCCTATCTGAGTAGCAAAATAGTAAATGTCTATTGGTACAAGTGCATACAAATATGACATCTATTTCAAAGAAGTTAGCGTTTTGAATAGAATGAATTTTTTTACAGCGCCATCTAACGTTGAGTGGCTGAACCCGTTTGTAAATTGTTTTATTTAAGTTTTTTACACGATAGACGCCTTTATTGATTGTGACATGTGAAATGATAACAACTTTCGCTCATTGTTATAAGACTCAATTTTTAACAACATTTAGAAGATGATTTGCTAAAGTTGCGTTTCATCTTTTTATCCAATTATATAGCTGTTTTTTATGTGTGTAATGGACAATTTGATTTGCGAATGTGTGATTTTGGCGACACTGGTTTTCCTTTTGAAAGAGTGTAGGGGCACTTCTACTTAATTTTCTGTTCTGTGTGTATGTCAGTATTTTTTTAGGTATCTATTGTCATTTGTTTTTTTTTACTTTTTTATAATCATGATACTTATCTATGGTTTGACCTCAAGACAGTTATTTAGCTTCGTAATAAAACAGAACTGTTTACAAGTTTATTTTATTTATGAAATTTCTCTTCAAAACAGTTATCTTTCAAAGTGCCACAAAGGCAGTTGATTCGAAATCTCCAATAGCTTAAATATTATTCAGATAGAATATCCGTCGGATTAGTTTCGTTGAAGTTGAAAACCGAATATCTAAAGTTCGGCAAAGCAGTAGCTACGCTTGTGAAACTTCAGTGAGGTAGCGAACACAAACTTACTTATATCCAAGTATCAAAACTAAGTTTCTTTTGACGAAAATAATATATTTGGTGAAGCGGACTAACTTAACGAGTTCTATAAAGCGTGGTCCGCATACCCATTTGTTTTCTATGAGTATTGTTACCTATTGAAGTTGTGAATTTGTGAGCAGTTTTTATTTACCCAATTTGAATAGGCATTTTTACTTTTCAGTGTGACGTTTTCCTTAGAGTTTAATGTAGGATGTTTACTAAATGAACAAAACACTCTAATATCTTTGATAACCCAGTCTAACAAGGAACATGTTATTTAGTAGGTAGGTGTGCCTAATGGAATAAATACCTATCTTTTTTTAAATAAGCTCAACTGTGCTAAGTTGCACAAACTCCATACTTTTCTGTATACAAGTGTAAAGTACCTACAACCAAATAAATAAAGTAAACCAGAAACATCTTCACTTCAAAAATCGCAAAGAAACAATAAGACGTTGCTACCCAAGAAATGCTTCCATTTAAAGTTAACGGCTTATCCATTCTTGCTACAATAAAGCAAGAAACTAAACTTAATACTCCATCCACGAAGTTTCCACCCGCATCGAGATTCGACGGAGGAATGAATCTTGAAAATAAAACGTCATACGCGTATCATAATCTTGAGATCTTTCGCCATTTCTTACATTTCTCGTGGTCACGTCTCGTCGTCAAGTCATGTCGTAAGTAAGGAGTGACTGAAC